TAAATCAATTTTATGGCCCTTAATTGTGTTCGTAGTACAGATAAAACTATCGATATACATCTTTGACATCACTAATAACGACATCAGCGTGCCGTTTCATTCATGTGGCGCGGTTAGTTAACAAGTAAAATTATGATCGCGTGAATAAAAATATTACTGCTGTTCTGCAAGTTAACGTTTATTTTTATTTGCTGTTCCAATCGATCGAAAATGATTGTTGTTTTATTAATAAATAAATATGTTAAAGGTCTATCGGTATATAAGTGTGATTCATTAACAATAAAAATTAACTTACCAACAATTTGTGAACCTAAACTACTTACAGCACAATAGCCGTAAAACAATAAATGAATAGCGATTTAAGTGCTAATATTTCAATTAAACAATGCTGCCGCTACTAACCAAAGAAGATGGTAATAAACTTTACCTTTTTAAATCTCGAACGAGCCGAGTGGCCCGATACCGATCAAAACTCCAGTTTAACAAAACACTTCATCCCTTATTAATTATTTTATTGTAAGCATAAAGGATGTCGTAATCGTCAGAATAATAATATCATCGTGCCGCATAAAGAACCCCAAGTAGCGACAACACAAGCGTAAAAATGACACGCCGTGCCACCAATATGTTTGTGTGTAATATTAGATTTATTCGACTGGGTCACGCATACAAGCGTAGGCAGGCTACCCCGAAGCGGGGTGCGCTCCGATACTCCGGTGTGGGGGCAACACTAGCACAAGCGCAGGGCTGCCGCCCGCCAGATGGTCACGCACACAGACGCGCTGCGAAAGGGAAAGCTACACTGTGTAAACAAATCGCGGGAGCGAGTGCCGTCCCTCTCGGTTACAAAGCTCGTGTGTGTCACATCATTGTGTGCTGTCGACGCGATCCAACGTAGATCGTTCTGTGAAATTGCCAGGTAATAGGCCGAGGGACTATAGCATTACACTTACTTATCGGTGGGTTTAGACGCTCAACGGCCTAATCGAATTGAATATAGACGACGTATTGACTTTTTCAATGTTTAAAGGATTGAGACACAAACTTCACTTCAGAGTTGAATTGATTGTTAATATCACATAATTTGTAAACAAAACCGTACTTAATAAAAAATTGGTAGTTTGTCAAACGATTATTTATTTCTCACTCATAACAAAATCAGTAATAAAATCGTACAAAAAAAGTTTAAACTATTGCAACAAAAAACCCCTAAAAACTTTGGTAATTTGAGAAGAAAGAAGTTCAGTTATGATTAGGTGACGTAAATATTGATACAGTGAATGTTTGGTCGAAGTGTCACGGCGCGTCGCTCCGGGCGTGACGACAGAGATTAGAATTGATCCAAGTAAGACGCCAGTGGAGCCCAACTCGACACCTATTCGTGTATACGTTATTGCCGTCTGAGCAATGCCACCCCTGAATTAAGTGGCGTACGCTCCGTCACTTGACTAGTGATGTACGATATCGAGAATGGATTTTGTCGATAGATTTGTTACTGATATTTTTTGTGTAGTTGAATAATTGTTTCCTGATTGTTTATGTTAGTAAAATATTTATAATGATATAAGTTTCGTTATAATTACAAAAAATATTGAAAGATTTTTTTTCAATATGTATTAGTCTCATATTTATTACCCTAAAATATTTAAGTATTAAAATAAATAAAACAGTATTATTTAAAAGATATCGATTTTTATTGTCTTTTCTATTGTGTTATTAGTATTTTCTATAGACAATGAGGTACGACTATTTATTACCCTTAAACTAGTTAAGACCAGTAAAGAAAACACATTTCTAAAACTTGTTTACATTAAACCTTTTTGTACTAAACCTAATGGTTAATATGATGTTAAATAATAAAATAATCGGCAAACATCCCAATGAAGGCGCCGCAACAGGCTTGCGAATTATGACTATGGTATTGTTAATTCAGAATCGTCCCAAAATTTATTATGGGTCGACGAAGCGAGATAAAGCATACCATCGATACAAACTAAAGAAAGAGACAGAAGACGGTTAAATGAGGGGGTGTCGTAAATAAATTTTTGTGCTTATGTTTCAAAGATCTTTAATCAAGTACTGCTGTGAGGTAAATTGAGCTTTGTTTTGTTTGTGTTAAATGCTATATTCTTTTGTTTTATGAAAGTTGAAGAACAATGTGGTAGTCTAGAAAGAGGAAACGGATTACGAGCGAGTGTCGGAAGCTTCTACCGTATTTAACGTAGATTACAATACTTTTTCGATATGATGTTTACATAAGCGTTGATTGTTTTGTTAATTAATTTTTTTAATTACAAGTTTATGTCGTGTTGTAAAGGAAACCCATGAAATGTGTTTTATGAGTTCCACTTCCATTTGTTTTATGAACTTTTTAAATTTTCTTGACAAATTAATTAACACCATGTATTATAATCATGTTCACATGTATTCACACAGCGTTAAGATGTTATATTTTTTTATATTTAAAAAATCTCTAAATGTTATGTGATTACTAGAAAATTGGTTGTTGAATTATGAATAACCTCATGCATCAAGTTAGTGCGGGGAGTCCGGCCTTATCCTCCGGTCCACCCGACCTTTATGCAAGTAGTCAAGATGTACTGTTATTTTTATCAAAACATATTTCTGTAATCAAATATCTATCGTTTCAGAAATCACCGCGTAAACACAAAAAATAAGAAAAAATAGGTTGTCATATAGATATTTATCAAGTTTTTCATAAACATCTGTTTACAAAATTAACACATTAACAACATTAACTTGGCGCCCCTCATTGTCGATATCACAAGGGACGATCCTCAAATCCGATAGGTGCTAATCATAATCGAATCTCGACTGGATTCAAATGAAGCAATCAATCAGACCGCAGCGCGCGTTGACATGTCTGCGCAAAAAAAAACTCCGTCTTTTTGTCCTAACCAATTTTTTAAGAGGGGTGATTACATTAATTTAAACCTCATTATGGACAGCTTTAGTTTCTGTTTGCAAAAAACATTTTTGATATTATTCCAATAAAACTAAGTTTAGATCATCAATTTCAAAGAAAAACTAAGTAAGCAACATGTCTTGAGGACTTAGAAAGGTACAATTTACACAGATAGACAGTAAAATATTTTGGCGCAGGGAAATATTTTCACACCACAGCTTTTCGCCTTTTAAAATGTACAACTAGTAAACACCGAAGCAGTATTGCTAATTGAATTATCAATTATACCCATTAGCTATTTCTGAGATATAAACCGACTAGCTACTCTCACCCGGTTTCACCCGCTGCTCGGCTCCATTGGATCGTAGCGTGATGTTTTATAACCTATAGCACTCAGGAACATTGCAGCTATTTATCAGTGAAAGAATTTTGGCAATCCGACCAGCGGTTCCAAGGATTACCCCCTACATACAAACTTACAAAATTTACCTCTTTATAATATTAGTATAGATAATATTGTCATCATTGAAATATTTTCACATAAGTCAGATTCGAAAACATTGAAATAAAGCCATAGAAAGGTATCAAAAATATGGGAGGGCGAAGCCGTTACGAAAGATAATATAATGCAACACAACATAACGTAAGATGAATGATATCTGATAAGAGAGGAAGGAAATAGAAAAATAAGGAAGGGATACTTGTTGATTCAACAAAGCAACTATCCCTCATAAACCATAAAAGACAACAGAAGAAGGAAGACTAAACTAAAAGAATTTTAAAGCAAACGAACCAGAAACGGTAATACTTTATTCAATAGAAGAACATTCACACTCACGTAAGAACAATGGTGACTGCAATGCTAAGTATTTTCATTGCATTTCCGCATTAATCAAGGCGTCATCTCAATTAGCCAGGCAGCTTATAAAACGCTTTAATCATTGCTTTATAAGGTATAATGAATCTATTCGAGCTTTAATCGAGGTGAAGACTCCTTCGCTTTTGTTTTTTGCACTGTGTGACGTGTCTATTTTAATTTGTGTTCATTTCGTTCATTCATTCGTTTATTGATCTGTGGTTTGCTATTCGATGAGGTTCGTATTATTATTGTTTTTATGTTATGTCATATTGATTTTGTTTCCAGGACTTTTTTATTTGATACATCTTGTATTTAGTTAAGCTATGTCCAATTTTATTCATCACAATGCAAAATCATCGGCAGATAGGTTATTTTAAAACAATTCTCTTATCAAGGGGTTCAAAGGTTACTTGCAATTGTTTTTATTGTACAGTTTACACTTCCTTATTGTCATCGGTAGAAGTTGCTAGAGTAGAATCAATTAAAGCTAAATCAATCTTGACTTCGAAATTTAATTTCTGGTCATTCGGATTGTTCCTTCAGGTTTGAGTCCCGTCACTATCACTTATTTATTAACTTTAAAACTTAACTTGTCACTACATAGTTTAAACAAATTTGCTTTCTCTGTTCCTATATTTGTTTGAAGTTTTAAAGATTTGATCATACATACCTATGTATCAATCATCATATATGAAATCTTTAAAACTGCGCAACGGATTTTGATTCGACTTTTTTAACTGTATCTAACAGTGATTGAAGAGGAATTTGGTACCAACATTGCACTAATGCCAAGCCGGAGCGGATCGCTGGTATTATGTACCATAATAACTTAAACTATAAAGACTATATTTACATCAAACAAACGTAGTCGTTGCTATTGAGCCCCTAACTGAAACTATTGTGCAGACATACTCGAAAACTTATTCACAAAGTGAATCGATTATAATCTGTAGCAGGAATTACCATATCATTCCTATGAATAAAATAAATAAATGTTCAAATATCTAAAAATAGATAATTGTATTGTCATTTTTCCAGAAAAGTCTTTTCTAGCACTTACTAACGGTTTTGTCGGTGACAAAATACATACTATCAAGTAAGTAAAGTAAAAATGTCATCGACACTAGGAATATACCGTAATATACATTGTTTAAAAATGGTCGTTTATAAATTTCACTGGTAAGTGCAATGCACTGCAAGAAATAACATGACACGTTGAAAATAAAATAAAATATTTTTTATTTACAAAATTTGCATATTGGCATAAATTACATGGAACTAGAGAAAATGTAACACTTTTTTTATAATTCCCGTTATCTCGTCATGAGTTAAAGTCTACTGTTTAACAAACATTTGTAACTTAAGTATTTTAATTACATACATAGTTTCTTTAAGTTATATTTGTTTTCTGAAATTATCTGGTACCGCTACATTTCATAATAGTTATGTTTGATTTATTCTATAAAAATATTTAGACTAATTATTTATTTACTATTTATACAAGTGTTTATTCGTTATCCACAAAACCTTCCTGAGTTCGGACAAACACTTTGAAGCATAATTTACAAGAATTTCATGAGGAATGATCAATAATCAAAAAAGGTAAAAATGCATAAGAAGTGATTATCCAGAGTATAGAACTAAAACTTGTCTTCTAGATAGGGCAGCAATGCAATTCTATAGTCACACCAATTCAATACCCAGGTCCAAACAATAATCGGTCCTTCTCTTTTAGTTTGTCCGCAAAGGTTTTGTGATAAAGCACACCACTTAAAGTCATACATCTCTACTTAATCATGTCATATTTTTGTCAGATCATAAATTTATCCAGTAGCCCTCAAAAGCTCCAGTTTTTGCTTTATCCATGGATTGTATTCAGAAACTCTTGTATATACTCCAGGATAATTTGTATTGGCACAACCTTCACCCCAAGACACGATACCAACTAGAACATTTCTTACAACTAGAGGTCCACCGGAGTCACCTTGGCAGGCATCTCTTGGTGGGTTACTGCCTTTGGCACACACCATTCCTTCCCCGATAGTGGCAATGCGTAGATAGGCACGGGCACATACACTTTGAGAGACGATGCTGACTCGAGCTGCCATCAGTACTTCAGACGATGAGCCTTCGTACTGTAAAAGCCGACATATATACATTTAATAAAAAAATAAATCATGTCTAACCTCACAAATATTTTGAATACAATCGCACTTTTATCGCTATCTCGATTTAAAAGTGATAAAACAAATCTTACCGACGTCGTTCCAAACCCAGATACAACAGCTCCGGTACCATCAGGTAGAACATAATGTTCTGAAGCTATAGATACAGGAGCTACGGATTGGCTAAAGTCCATGATTTTTGAAGTACCCAATAATGCAATGTCATGTTCCAAAGTGGTGGCTGAGAAGCTTTCATGGGAGTAAATAACCGAAACATCGTAAGTCTTTCCACCAGTAAGACGGGACGAAGTACCGACTACAACTCGTAATAGTGATGGTTGTGAAACGAATCTGAAAAATAAGGGGAAGTTATATATCCGTGTAGGGAGTATACCGTGGGTATCAACGCTGACGGTAAAAACAATATCGAAAGGTTTATAAATAAAACAGATATGACTGATAAATTTTCTAAGAAGCAGTTATCAGTTTAAGAAAACTTGTTACTGTTCATGAAATTTGATAAATAGATTTCCTTAGAATTTATACTCACGTTTCAACACAATGAGCAGCGGTCAGAAGTCCTCTGTTTGTAATTATGACAGCACCACAATTGTGAGCCCATCCTGAGAGTACTCTTCTTCTAAGAGCTGCCTGATATGGAACTTCTGTTATATCAACTGTTTCTCCATTCACTATCCTTGCGAGGTCTGCATTGTCAGGCACCGGGATTGTTATCACACAGCTGACAGAAACTGCAAATGAAGATTTTTGGTTAATTAAAGCACAAACAAAAGTCAGTTAGTTATATGAGAGTTTTAATTATTTTTCGAGGAAAGATTTGAAACTTTTTTAGATCAAACTAACCTAAAATTACAACAATTCCCACTGACAACTGCATTTTAGCAAACAAAAGAATTGACTAAACATCTCAATAAGAATACTAGACGCCCAGTATAAGTAAGATACTTTATCTCATGTTGTCAAGATCAAGTGTTCTTTATCTTGGGTCTTACCAAATTATTTATCTATTGCCACTTATAAAATTTCATGCCGCGTTTGGTTTTAGTTCACTCTATTTTCTTATTTGTAAGTGGATGTTTTAGTTTCAAAATGCGTTATTAAAATTGATAGATTTGCATACTATACTTAACTGGCTTTTTAATTTGATATCAACGCTTGCTTTTAACATTAGCAGCCCTTTAATATTGCCATTATTTTTAGTGTAACATTATTCAGTTTCGGGCATTCCCGTTTGGTTATCATGAGCTTTATCAATATCGATAAAACGATAACCATAATATAAATTCATGTTACTGGCTGTATTCCATTTTACAGAAAAACCCTGTGTTACATCGTACATCTTTGAATTTTCCATTTGGAATCTCTTTTTTTCTATAAGTTGTTTTGCACCTTTTGACGGTAGCATATTTGATTATGTTATAAGTCTTGTTTATTTTAAATAAATTTCTAATTCGTAAGCTGTAACTAGCCTTGATTTCATGACAACCCACTAGATGAGGCTGGTAACAATATCGGATGAAAATTATGATTATCTCCAACGTTCGCAAAATAAAACAATTCGAGTTATTCCACTACAATACTCTACTTAAGCCAGGCTAACTACATTACCGAATAATACCTTTACTATCTTAAGATATTTGGATTAGAACTAGAGAAAAAGATGTTGGCCTTCGCTAAAATTAGTCACAGAGCCTAGCATTACCTTCATATGTACATCACTTCCTCGCCATATTTGCACATCTATAGAACACTTGTTGGTTTCTGCTGTCTTGTCTACTTTAGACCTTATTTTTGTCGAGTGACTTAAGACCAGCCTTAACATCACTAATAATGCCTTTTCCAGATTCTTTGTCTAATTAAATCTGATTACTTTCAATCGAGTATTGTTAGTTTTTATTTCATTGCTAGTTATATTTTCTTTCTAACATTTGGTTCACTACCATATAGGACTCGGAAGTAAACTTTTGTAAAAAATCTTACATTTTTGTGTGTGATTAAAGGCTGAAATGAATAAATCTTTGCAATCCAAGATTTTTGGATTAAGTAAGAACAATTTTTGTGTTGGATAAGCAGTTTGTGAAAAACCGGACTATTAGATTTCGGCCGTTGGAGACAAAAAAGCGATGTGTGATTGAGTATACATCATGGTATGTATGTATATTTTAATAGACTGCAAATGACCCTATTAATTGCTTGATGGTAAGTGATCGGAGCTACTGGAAACACCAGAAGTACTTTCGTTCATGCTGCCTTCCGTTGCCGGCCTATTAAGAAGCCAGTATATATTACATATAACCGAAATGAGATACTCATAACCATCATTGACTGTTTAATTAGCGATGATATTCTCAGGACGAGTCGATCATAACGAGGTGCAAATTATATTAACAGCTTTTTAATACAGTACTGCCGTTGCGGCCGAGGTTTTATCGGCAATCAAACCGTTGTCCCGAACTCTGCAAATTTATGGACACATTAAACCATCGGAAATTGCCCAGTAATGAGCTTCATTGAGCATAACTTTACAATATCGTTTAGAGGTAACATATTTGTTATGAAGTTGCTCATGAACCTACATTCACACTTTTTTATTTAATTGGCAAAATTTGATTTTTGTTGTTCTTTTCTTGAAAATTTATGTTTTTATGACTCTACTTTTATGTTGTTTTTCCTATATAACAGTTGTAGATCTCCTTTCCATGCCATGTTTCAGCACGAATGAGTCGATTTGCCCGTAGTGATACCACGACCTCACAGAAAACCATCGTGGAACAGCCACGGCATTTTGCTTCGCCGTATGACCATGGTTACCAGTAGCCAATCCTTCCACTCCCCCCATTCCTCCCCAATCTAATATTATAAATTCCCAAAAGCTTTTGTATATAAAAGAAGTGATGTACCAATAGGCTCATCAACGACTTCAAAGCCTCGAATACAGGGCCAATTCCTTTCGGTTTGTTATTTGGTACATTTCGGAGTGGTCGAATAAGCTCCACGACTTGATTCTCTAAAGACCTACACCATCAGACAATCGGATAAACTTCATCGCTTCACGTTGGATCTCCCACCCAAATGTATGAAGCGGTTCGCCTCCAGTTTTATCATTAGAATCGCTAAGAAGTGTAATTCTTAAGAAAAGGTGTTCTTCATCGTAGGTCACGTCATCGCTTACCACAAGGTGAGATTAGGGGACACACACAAGCCCATTGCTAAATAAAAAGCCGACAACACCCTAAAACTCCTCTGGAGTTGCGAGTGTGCATGGACGGCGCTTATTGCTTGGCGTCAGGTAATCCTTACCCGTTTACCGCCGTATCATATTTTAAACAAAAAATATCATTTACGGGAAACTGATGTGCTTGAATATCAAATTGAGAATACATGATCGTTTTCATACGGCATGCAGATTTCTTTCAACCAGCGCATCTGAAAGTCACTGAGGAGACCTGTTCAGCAGTTTAAGTCTCATGTACAAGACATAAAACGTGCATCACGCTGATGATGATTATTGATTTTTAGAATAGGCCGTTGGTAAGTAGATTAAGTTACGAGTAGTGTAAATGTAATGCATTAAGTAATATTTCCTAATAATCCTAGTTTTTATAATTGATTTATATGTGTATGACACTACAGAATTGATTAAGTAATCCGTAGACAGTATATTGTATTTTTTTTTCTAATAGCACAAAATTATTAACACAGACGTCCGAACATTGTAAACAAACCAGTTCATTAAAAATAGATTCTGATACTTTTATAAAATAATAAATGTCTAAACTTCACCTCAAGCTCGACATGAATAGAGCGTTATAATTACTTAGTAAACGATCCGCCTCAAATTGAGTAGCACAACACAAACGAAACGAACCAAACACACGCGTAGCGCCATCTGTTATCGACTTAATGTACGATTTATATCGCAATTATTACGAAAACCCATGTAAGTATATAATTTTAACGTTCCATTTTATTGTAGATTAATTACTCGATCCACTCGATATTGCTTTGGGCTCTGTTGTTTGGCCATTAATTGGGTGAATCAACCACGAAACGCGTAAAGTGAGCGTAATAAGCCTATTGCCTAAGATAAGATAGTGTTCATTAAATCAATAGAAAGCCGTGTGCATGGGAGTGTATGGCGGTGTATGGGATCGGTACGTCCACCCACGCGGGGCGCATTCCGGTGGGAGCCAAAGACCTCTCGCTTCCTGGATGGCACACAAATGAATAGTAGATCAATTTTACCGATCTCTAAAACTGGATTGTTTTAATGTGGCCTGTTTTGTACGCTATGTGGGGGACACCTGAGGTAACGACATTGGGAAAGTATGCTCTTTAGGCGTCTCGTGGAGGTGTGTTATATGGATGCACTGTACACGTGTCAGCGGCCCTTGACTGAAGGTCAACATAGTCGAGCGGTAAGAGTCGTAACTCGTAATTATTTGATTGCTCTAACGTCCTTCCGTGTTCAGCCTAACAATAGATGCTATGATTAGAAAATACCACTTCAGCCAGTTTTTAGTAGACATATACCATTTAGTCAGAGCAGGTAATATTCTATTTGCAGCACCTATGATTTATAGAGACCGGACTTACCTAATTATAGACGTGATTTTTGTGGTACAATTATACTATTTAACATTTGTTCTACACCGCAAAGTGATGAAGTCACTACATCCGGAATGAGGACCGCGGATATTCCCAAGAATAATTGATTGTCAATTAAATATTCTAGTACCTGTGTAGCTGCTAATGAATCCAGTGACATTGGTACAAATGTTCTGTTATTTCATTCACGAAAAAGTTTTGAAGTTGCCCGTTATAATAATCTTAGAGATCATTCTAGTATGTTAAGCGATACGGAATTTGTATTAAGGAAACAAGTACATGTTTAAGTATTTAAACAGTAGTTTAGTTGTAATGAGAAATAGAAAACAGGTGATTAAAACAATGCTGTAAGTATTTATATGTTGCTATGTGCATGCGCGTTTCGCGTCTTGCCCGTTCAACCGTGAAGGACGCTCGCGCGCCGCGATTTGACGGCCGACTTCTAACCGCTGCTCAGCTATGACATGTGTCAAGTGGGAGGCGGTAGCGAGTTGAACTTAAATATAGGCTCGATAAATGTATGCAGTTATTTCTTTGATTCGAATAAAAAGATGTATTTTTGTTTTATGTGCATATATGTGTAAGTATTTAATAGATAAGTCATACAAATACAAAATATTCCTATTTACGCAGAGGTTTGAAAGAAAGGATAAGGACATTTTAATGGTTATAAATTATTTTTTACAATATTTAATGCGTATTATGATAAACAATTGACTGGAGCGGTCAAAGGTTATTAAGTATAAACTAGGAAAAATAAAAAAGGGTATCTAGCAAAAACAATGAGGATTATCACTTGTGTGTTCGCTAGAAGTCAAAGGGCAAATATTTTATGTCCAATTTTCTTTAAGTTGGCTTAATCCTATTTAACAAAAGGGCTTAATTCTACCTAACCCATTTAGTGTTTCTTACAAAATTTAAGTCCAATATCTACTTTATTCATGTAAAAATTTCAAATGCTTTTCGAAAGAAAATTATATTAAAGAAACGCTATTTTCTTATGAGCGGTACCACAAGAAATCTCAGGTATCAGATGTCCAACAACTTGTTAGTATTATCATTATTGCGACTGTCGGACGTTTTATTGACAGTTATTATGTTATTTTGACATATAACGTATAACTTGTTTCGGATTTATTTATTAATAACTTAAGATATTTAAATCTATCAACACTAGGTAGGTGAGAGTCGGCTTAAATTATTCACAAATCATAACATTTAGACCACACAAATATTTTATGATTATATCTCGTTGATTTTATGTGACTTTCATTCGTAGTCATAATTTCTAAAATTTTATTTATAAATCAGATCGTATCGTCTTCTCTTTAAAATTCTTTTATTTATTATTTAATTTAAAAA